TACAGAGGGTGGAAACAAGGACAGGTAGCCTGGGAGGAATACAGAGAAATTGTCTGAGCAGACAAGGATCAGGGTAGGAAAGCTAAAGCCCTGAAAGAATTAAATCTGGCCAGGGACATCAAGGGCAACAAGAAAATCTTCTATAGGTACATCAGTGATAAAAGCAAAACTAGCGAAAATGTGGGCCCTCTCTGGAAGGAAACAGGAGACCTGGTTACCCAGGATATGGAGAAGGCGGAGGTACTCAAGGACTTTTTTGCCTCAGTCTTCAACAGCAAGTGCTCCAGCCACACCACCAAAGTTGCAGATGTCAAAGGCAGGGACTGGGACAATGAAGAACCACTCTAAGAGAAGATCAGGCCTGAAACCATCTAAGGAAACTGAAGGTGCACAAGTCCGTGGGACCTGATGAGGTGCATGCATTGGTCCTGAGGAAACTGAGAAGTTGTGGCAGTCCAGTGAAGTTCCTACAGACTGGAAGAAGGGAAACATAACCCCTATTTTGAAAAAGGGTAAAAAGGAAGACCCGGGGAACTACAGGGCAGTCAGTCTCACCTATGTGCCTGGCAAGATCTATGCTAAGGCACATGGAAAATAAGGAGGTGATTGGTGACAGCCAACATGGCTTCCCTAAGGGAAAATCCTGCCTGAGAAACTTGGTGGCCTTTACAGCATTGGTGGATAAGGGAAGAGCATCAGCCTGGACTTGAGCAAAGCATTTGACACTGTCCCACACAACATTCTTGCCTCTAAATTGGAGAGACATGGATCTGACAGATGGACTGCTCAGTGGACAACGAATTGGCTGGATGGTTGCACTCAAAGAGTTGCGGTCAATGGCTCAATGTCCAAGTGGAGACCATTAATGAGTGGCATTTCTCAGGGGTCAGTACTGGGACCAGCGCTGTTTAATATCCTTGTCAGCAACACGGAGAGTGGGACTGAGTGCACCCTCAGCAAGTTTGCCGATGACACCAAGCTGTGTGGTGTGGTCAACACGCTGGAGGGAAGGGATGCCATTGAAGGGAAAGCCTTGACAGGCTTGAGAGGTGGGCCTGTGCAAACCTCATGAGATTCAACAAGGCCAAGTGCAAGGTCCTGCACATGGGTCGGGGCAATCCCAAACACAAATACAGGCTGGGCAGAGAATGGACTGAGAGCAGCCCTGAGGAGGACTTGGGAGTGCTGGTTGATGAGAAGCTTAACGTGACCTCACAGCCCAGGTGGTCAACAGTATCCTAGCCTGCATAAAAAGAAGCGTGGCCAGCAGGTCGAGGGAGGTGATTCTGCCCCTCTACTCAGCTCTGGTGAGCCCCCACCTGGAGTCCTGCGTCCAGCTCTGGATACCTCAGCACAGGAAAGACATGGAGCTGTTGGAGCAGGTCCAGAGGAGGCCACAAAAATGGCCAGGGGGCTGGAACACCTCTGCTGTGAGGAAAGGCTGAGAGATTTGGGGTGGTTCAGCCTGGAGAAGAGAAGCTTGTGGGCCCACCTTATAGCAGCCTTTCAGTACTTAAGGGGGACCTACAGGAAGGATGGGGAGGGACTCGTAATTAGGGAGTGTAGTGATAGAACGAGGGGTAATGGTTTTAGACTGAAAGAGGGTAGATTTAAATAGATATAAGGAAGAAATACTTCACTGTGAGGGTGGTGAGCCAGTGGCACAGGTTGCCCAGAGAAGTTGTGGATGCCCCATCCCCGGAAGTGTTCAAGGCCAGGCTGGATGGACCTGGTCTAGTGGAAGGTATCCCTGCCATGGCAGGGGGGGGGGAACTAGATGATCTTTGAGGTCCCTTCCAACCCAAACCATTCTATGATTTTAAGTTTTCCAGTTAGTTTTAAGGTTCTCTGAAATTAAGATGCAACTCTAATCTAGATCAAATATGCTGTAACTCTTCCAACTTTTGCTGAACACTGAAGACTTGTCTGTCACTTCCTATATTTGATAATTTTCTTCCCCACATGACTACATCCATCCGTTCTTATACCAATACTTAGCAGAGTTAAAATGTGTTTCCTCTATGCTCACCTTGGCAGAGGTTTCAAACCATCCGACAAAGCCACCTTCTCTGCAGAACTGGTCCATTTGAGAAAGATTCTGGCTGCCATCTTTCTTCTGGTCACACTTGTTTGCAAGAAGAACAGCAGGGATGGGGCTGCCATTGGGAAGTAGTACTTTACTGTCCAAATCATGCTTCCATTTTGAAACAGCCTCAAAAGTGGAGCCTCTTGTGACATCAAAGACCACAAAAGCACCAACTGCCTCTTTGTAATATACTCTGGTCATATTTCCAAAGCGCTCCTGGCCTGAAAGAGAAGGCGGTGAATGAGTATATTTATATTTAAGCATGAACTGTAGTCAATGTAGATGGACTTCTGTACCAAGTTAGTACATACAAGTTTGGCATTTAGTTTTAGTCACTTAGTTCATGCAACATTGCCTCTTCCATTGAATGTTATCTCATTGTAACAGCATTATGTGTATCATACAAGTCAGATGCTAAAAGCAGTTTGCAATCAACCACCACTGATTTTTGTTTTTTAAACTTATTTGTTGAGTAGTATTCTTTTAGAAGTGATGCCTAAAAACACCACCAGCACAGCTGTATGCAAAACATTAATTCCTCAAAAAAGCTTCTGCAAGATTTAGATATAAACCTAGTCACTCAATCTAGAAACTTAAGTAAACCCAAAGACTTCTTCTGGAGGGTGAGTAACAAGAGTTTCTATGAGCCCCACAGTTAACAGCCTTCAAAGCATCTTCTGAAGAAGTCACCTATATTATATAGGTTTCCTTAGGGCCAAGCTCAAAAGGAGCAAGTTTAACAGTTCTAGCTACGGTTCTGTTATCTTTGACTTCATCTTTTAATTCTAAGACCTTTTCTGGAATAATTTCCAACTGTAGGAGTTCTACAACAATCCCAGGATTTGCTACAGGATTATCAGAATAGTTAAAGTACAATTATTGGGGGAAAAAAAACAAAAAAAAAAAAAAATCAAGAAAACCAATGTTCAGTGAGTACAGTCAACTAAAGCCTTTTCTTATTAAGTACAACTATTGTAGTCAGTTTACTTTAAATGTAGAATTAGAGTGCCAGTTCAATTATCCTCCTGTTTGGAAGGTTAGACCATCATGCTGTGTTTGTATGGGAGTAGGCACAGCAGTGTCAAGTGCTAGCATGTTTGGGAAGCCTGGGCTACGAGAATAGCTTTGTGCTTTGTTCAGAAGTCTTCATTGGGGAAAAGTAGCCCCCACACTTTATAATTCAGTTTGACAGTGTATCATCACTTCAGCTTTTAGCATTTAGTGCATATGCAGATCTAGAATAGATAAAGTAAGAATTTTAATTGGAAACACAGTTGTCCTCTGTTTATAAACATTCAAGTCCGCCTTTGATTAGAAAGGACAAACAGTTACAAGAACTGGGTATTATCATCTTCTCGGAGCCAGAAATTCATTAGATGAAGGAACTTGACAAGGGATCCTGTTCAACAGCATGCTTTTCTAGTGCAATTGCCTCATTTTAATGTCAGTACTTCAGTGTACCAATTAGCTCATTCCCTGCAGACGTTTTCAGAAAAGGTTGATTAAGCAGCTGTTACAATTGCCTGAAAGCAGCTGCAGCTACAATGACGTTCTAGAGACCTATAAAGTTCTTTGTAGAAGACTTTATTTCTGGCTGTTCAACTTGAAAGTATGATGCTGCATAAAACAGCATCACTAGCCAGCATATTCTGTTATACACGAATTTCTTCACTACCAGCTCATTATCCCCTGTATAAGAACAAGGATCATGCAAGAGGAAAGCTCTTACCTCCATATTCAAAGCTCAAGTTTTGAAGCAGTATTATTGCCATGGACTCTAAGGCCACCAAGCCAGGCACCAAGCCTGCATCTCAGTGACTACATTACTGGAAGACACCTTGCTGATACAAGTCTCCTAAAGAGTGTACACAGAACTTGTATACAAGTAACTCATTGTCTCCCTAGGCCCTTCCCGGCTGGATTCTTATCCCTAAAAGTTGTTTTTGGTATAAGCTTATTGCAAATTGTTGTATCATGTTTGGCCAGAAGGCTTTTACTACTTCTGCAGTTCAAGTGTGCAACATCTAAAGAAGTTTTACCTTTAGATTGTGGGGATTTTGTTTTGGTTTCTTGGGGTTTGTTTTTTGTGGGGTGGTTTTTTTTTTTGTTTTTTTTTTTTTTTTTAAAATGGAGCTGCCTATGGTCAAATTTAGTTATATTAAGCCAGTCACTGCACATGGCACCACATAAGCTACAAGGAGCTCCTTCTCATCTTCCCCATTTGTTTAGCTGTCAGTCTCACCATCCATTCCTGTTACACAGGAACACCTCTGACTGTTAAAGCACTGAGACTTATGTCCAATTTATGCAGTATATCCCTTCACACCATAGGAGGGACCCACAGGACAAATACCATAATCTCAAGGTCTACACTGTTGTGTACCAATCTCAGTATTCTACAGAAAGATTTATTCAGTTTGGCCCCAAAATGGTCTAGAAATGGACACCACATACCGTTACTTAGACGAGACTGCACATGAGTTTGAAGCAGTGAGGGGAATGGCCCCATTAGTCCTCCCTATTTAGCTACTTGAGATCTGTGGGGATTTCAGTCTTTTTTAATTAAGGCTTTAAGATTTTCCAAAAACTTGACAGACGTTTATATAAGAAAATTAAGTTGTATTGATTTGTCCTGGTTTCAGCTTGGATAGAGCTAACTTTCTTCCTAGTAGCTGGTATAGTGTTGTGTTTTGCATTTAGTATGGGAATTATGTTGATAACACACTGATGTTTTCAGTTGTTGCTAGGTAGTGCTTATACCAAGTCAAGGACTTTTTCAACTTCCCATGCTCTACTGACTGAGAAGGTGCACAAGAAGCTGTGAGGGAATATAACGAGGACAGCTGACCCAAACTGATCAAATGAATATTCCATACTATGTGACATCATGCTCACTGTATAAACTGGGGTGAGTTGGCCAGGCACTGTGATCATTGCTTAGAGTTGGGCTGGGCATTGGCCAGCAAGTGGTGAGCAACTGCACTGTGCATCACTCGTTTTGTATATTCTATTATCTTCATTATTATTTCTTCCTTTGCCGTCCCATTAAATTGTATTTATCTCAACCCATGAGTTTTACTTTTTTTTTTTCCCCGATTCTCCTCCCCATCCCTCCAGGGGGAGGGGTGAGCAGCTCTGCCATTCTTTGTTGCCAGCTGGGGATAAACCACAACATGATTAGTTGCAGAAAGGGTTGCTAGACTGTTACCAGCAAGGAGTAGAGACAGCATAAGCACTACATAGGCAAACTGAGTTATTTGGGAATGGCAGAAAAAGTTCAGGCAGTTACCATTTCTCAGATAGCTCTGCATGCTGTAGGTAAACATGGCTGTGATCAGTTACTGCAGTGATGGACACTACCATTGACTGAATCCCTTCCTGTCTACTGCTCTCCCACCCAAAAAAAATTTTAGAGATAGAGAACAGTTAACAAGGCCATACTAGCCTCCTACAGCGATAACCCTTGTTGAAACCTGCACACCACAGTGCATTTAAGGTGCAAGAGAGACTGAGCTAGTACAGCATCACATATAGCTTTCAAAGAAAAGAAACAAAGTTTAAGTATATATCATAACCAAACCTGAAGAGTCCTAAACATCAAATTGTTTTTCTTAAAGAAGTCACAGGGGTCCTACTCTTGGCCAGAAAGTCTGGTTATCACTCAGATAAGTTTGTCAGTATTCCATTCCCAAAAGAGTTCCCATCTTCTCACCATAGTCAGTCTTCCCCACCCACCTAGCCCAATGCCTTTGTACACAATGAGCTAGAGAGCTGCATTGACTAGTAATCAGCCCAGATTGCCCAGCATTTGGTTCTTTGACATTGGCGACCTCTCATATCCCAGTATCCCCCAGCCACGCGTGAGGCTTTAACACCATGCAGCCTCTTGCCAGATATGCTATACCAAAAAGGCAACAATGGTCTTGTAGCAGGAGCAGCAGACTAGCTGAATCCCCCTATGGGGTCCTGACCAGGAGAAAGGCCACTGCAAGTGGGGTTGTGCTAACTGGCAGATTCAGTAGCTGTGGAATAACACAGAGGCCAAGGTTGGCTTTGTGCAGCAGCTTTTCTCATTCTGCAAGAAGACAGCAGGTGTGGTAGGAACATAAGCTTGCACTGAACTGTACTTTACTTTGTACTCTATAGCAGTCACTTAAAAAAGCATGTCAGCTGTCCAGAACAACCATTTCAGTCTTCTAGCTGGCTTTGTTGACAGAAGTCCAATTTTTTGCTGTTATAGTAATGTTTTTCCAAATGAAAAACTCATAATACATACTCTTCTGTAATTTAAGTTTGGTGAAAGTAGGTAACAGATGTATGTATATATGCCTATCAGCATAAAAGCCTCTACTTAATGGATTCAAGCTTTACATTAGGCAGATTTGATACCCCCTCCCCCTAAAAACACACACAAGCTAACACCACTGTAGTATTACAGATTAATGTCTTTTAATAGTTCCAGATACATTCCAGTATGACTGCTGCCCTTTTCTGAAGTAGCCCAAACTCTACAACGGTTTATCACACAGAGCTGCTTTGACCTCTAGAATTCAATTCCACTAACAATAGACCTGACCTACTGTAGCTTAGGATTGTTCTTCCATTCTGTCCAGAGGTCTTAAAAGGATGGATATATTCTTTTTATTCCGTAGAAAGATGAGAGAAGCAATAACACATGCCCTGCCTAAAAGGTAAGAGTTTTGTTGTAGTAAAACATATATGGCATGAGGCAGGAAGATAATTCAGTATAAACTGAATAGACTTCCTGTACAATCCTGTTATTCTTGACAATGCACACGCTTTAGGCTGAGCTTCTTGTAGGAGATGCAGAGCATTTTAGATAGCCTTTTGAAAATTTAACAGGACTTTCAGGCAAAGTGTTTTTCTGCTTGCAGAAAAACTCACACAGAAAAAGTAAACTGTAGAACATACCAATCCTCCAAAGTTTGGAGTCTGAACAGCATTCTCTAGGTATTAAAAGTAAATTGACTCAATTTTTGCCACATTCAGTTCAGCTGGGGATCTGTCATTCCCTTTCCTATGTCCAGCAGAATTTTTGCTAATGTCATTTCACCATGTGTAAGAATAGTGTTGAGCAGTACAGAAAGTGGATCATAGCCATAGAGGGGAAAAAGGCTAAAAAGCAATCAGATGAAAGTAGACTTAAAATCTCCAGCATGTACAATCATGGAAGGAAGAAGACAGGAAAATTACTTGCTTA